AGAACAGAGTTCACAGCAGGAACCAGAAGACACGCTGCAGCCTGATGCACCACATGTCAATGTACACCCAAGCCTAACTCTTCCTGCACAGAGGCCAAGTTGGACACCCTGCAAATTTCACTTTTTTTCCTCTTTTGGTGGCAAAAGAGCCTGCAAGCTTGTAATTGGGCAACGCAGGTGACAAGGAAATAGAGCATGTGGAGAACAAGAAAATAGAGATGTCTCCATAGCACAGTCTGAAAGGCAGGACTGCTGGATCCTCTTTAATATACCAGCCTGTATACTGGGAGCACTCTACAAACTCACCATGTGGTTCAAGGATAGCCACACGAACACAGACACTCCTACAGCAATCATATGAGAAAAGCTGCAAGATGCCACTCAGTGAAGACACATGGAACATGCCAAGAAGGCAATGAACTATATGCTAGGCAAGAAGCGTGCCCCATCCAACCACAAGTAAGTCCAGACAAATTTGGCAATGAAACATTGATCTCATTAACATGCATTTATGTGCAAAACATCGGTGTATTCCCACCAAGTGTGGCTCAGTATGTTCTTATTCACCCAATTATGGATTGATGAAGGACTGCCAGTTGGCTAGGCTCAGACAAGAATATCGGTTAAGTTCTTAAGAACAACATAGATGTGTGCTGCATATCACCACCATCACCTCCCAGATGAGGTCTATAGTGCCAGAAGATCATTTAACCCCATGTCTTGGAGGATCCAACTCTTGAGTGACCCACCATCCGCAGCAGCACCTGAATATGTATTTTCCAGGTGGCAACTGGGCAACACCAGACCTGGTCATGACAATTGTTCTGCTTACTACACACAGTGCACACAAAGGAGACAACAGCCACAGTGCTGGGAAATAAACTGAGACCAGGTGAGACTACAATGAAAATTCTGATGGCTGTGACATACCAGATTGCAGTCACCTGCAATCACACCCACAGAGCTGGGAAGACACAGGTGAAGAGGGAACCCCCTGTAGACACTGCTTTTGTCACAAGGGCAATTGCTGTCAGTGGCTGAGGCTCACAGGAGTTGTCTTTTTTTCTCCCTACTCCTTTCTGTTGGTGAGAACAGAGGGATGTCCTCACAACAGCGTAGTAACTGCTCCCATCAAAAAACATCTTTTTTGGAAGGCTGCACTACAGGAGGGCATAGGGAGTTCTTAGAAAGTGAAGTGATGACAGCTCTAGGACTCCCTTCCTCTTGGTCCTTCTAGTATTCCCCCTCCCATCCTCACAAATTCGGTTATTGTAACAGTGACCCCACCGCAGTGAGAACAGCACCAGTTCTATGCTAGGGAGGCAGGAAAAAACAGGGGAGGAGCTAAATTGCTCTTCTGTCATTGGCTAAACTACACACATGGATTCATGCAAGACAGCAGAGAAAGAATGAGAACATTTACAGGTTCCCCCAGCTACGCAGGCAAAATATGTTTTTGTATTTTTCTGAGGGCTTACTGTATATATATGTAATTCTCTAGAGGCCTACTGCATACAAGTAAAGATAGAAGAGCATTGGATAGGGTTAGGGAGAGCAGGAAGAAGGGCTACAGTTAGTTGAGGACTAGAAATGAATCTGAACTTCTGCAAAGTTCCTCTTCTCTGCTGTTAAGAGGTGGCAGCCCTGTGTTCCTCAAAGAGCAACACAAGTTATTTTCTTACAAGGCCGTGAAGCAGCTGTGGCCTGTAAAACTAATGAGATTTCCCAACAGAGGAGGTGGCTGCTTTTTTCTATCTTCTGTGGGTTGGTGATTAAAACAACAAGGAAAAAAGGCCATCCTGATCAGCTGATGATTTAAGAGTCTCTGGCAGAACAGTGACTATGTTCCTTGCCTGAAAAGCATCAGTAAAACTTCCCTCATCTAGAGGATATTCCCCTAAACCAGAGCTTTGAAACAAGCTGAGAAATGTTCCCATGGACGCAGGGGTGGGGGGAGAGAATGGCAGCAATGGTCTCACCCCATCCCCTTTCTCAGACATGGTCACTGTGGGATACTGGAGCAACAAGCAATGGACAAACATCTCTCATGATACCTTGCTCCGGTCTACTGCTTGGCATAGCAATCCCCAACCTTCCTTTTGTCTTGAGAACAGGTGGTGGGTCCATAAAGTCTCAGGTGTCAACAGAGCCCACTGGTGAGCAGTTACTCCTGCTAGCCATCTTACAACACACATCATTCCATCTACCACAGTGGCAGATGATGTTCTCTGCCACTACCAGAGATAAGCCAAAAATATTAAAATATTTAGACAGCTAAAAAAAAAAAACTAAATCACAAAACAGGGTCAAATTTACACACAGTTGAGAACAACCAAGGAGAATTTTAATCTTGAACACCCTGAGACAAGAAAATAGTCTATTTTAAGCACGTAGAGCTAATACAAAGATACAACGATGTAGCCAGAATGGTATGTCAGACTACGCTTAACTGTGCTTCTACACAGAAATTAGAGTTGCTTTGGGGTTTGTTTGGTTTTTTTGGGCTTTCTGTGGGGTTTGGAGGGTTTACTTTTAATTAATATCTTATTTCATGCCAAGCCAAATCATCTTACAAACACAAATTCTAGCACTGTACCAACCGTAGTCAGCAGAACATCCAGTTTACTAGATTGATCTTGAAAGGACAGGATTCTCTCATTCCAGTAAACCCAAGATCTGACAGCCATCTCAACAGTCCTAAATCACTGTCCAGTATCCTGGATCAAAACAATAAGACTACAAAGTCTCCTTTTCTGGACGTAAAGAATAAATAAGCTGTCCTAAGGGGATGGGGGAAGCATTTAACAAATGTGGGCCAGAGACCCGCTGAAGTACCTTACATTGTCTCTGACATGTCAAAGAGGAGCTTGAGGAATCCTGACAAAGTTTGTTGGAATACATCTAAGAATTAGGACTTTTTTTGAAGTCTGGAAGCGAAGAAGGAAAGCTCAAGGGCAAAGTAATTAGGATATTTATATCAAAGTCCTCAAATTTCTTTTCTGATTACTGCAGAGTATTTTTCCAGAATTGGTAACACACAGAACTGCTACTAGGAGACAGTTTATGGTCATATTAAAAATCTAGTGAGATAGGCAACATATCTTGTGTTTTCTGCTTGCCCTGTTCTTACTCTTTTTTACATGTTTGTTGTCAATACAATTACTTTCTGCCTTCTATATTTAAAATGCATACTCCTTCTAGCCTCCAGCAATCTACAACTTAAAAGCTCCCTGAACCACACAGGCTTTTTTATAGCATGATTTCACAAAGGACAAATGATGTAGTCATGTTTCATGTTTAGAACTATCTAGTTATTTTGAAAACATGAAAGTTATAATATAACATTAAGCAGTACAAATATACTTTAAGGTACTTGAATCTTGGGTGTACATTGATTGCAGGTAGGGCAACCACTCCCAAAACAAGACACTATCTTATCTGGTCTGCTTAAAATAAATTAATTCAAACCCTCCTGCTATCACCCCTAGCATCATCAAACCAGACCCTTAGAAGAAGCCTACACAGCGGCAAAGCAATCCATTGCATCACACTAGTTACACTCTAGGCTTTCCACAGGAGTTTAACTTGATCTCAGAGGAGGGACGTGGTACCTTGCAGACTGTCTCCGACAGACGGAGTAGGGGGGGTCGGGCTGGGTGTATGGGTGGGACTGTCCCCAGCTGTGTCACTGACTACATCCTTCCTCCATATGGGAAGGAGGGGGAAAGCAGATACAACAGAAGAGGGAAAAGCAAAACATGGCTTAGTAAAAAGGATCAGGCAGTTTTGCCGCCAAGATCACAGGAAGTGGAGCAGATGCCCTCCCATGACGGGTACTGTCAGCAAGGCGTAGTTCACACTAAACGGATTTGATTCCTGGCATTTGCGGGGACTAAGATTTTCTCTGGTGAGAAGCAAAGTTAGTCCAATCCCTGTCACATTTTTTCATCTCATCATCCGTCAGGTCAGTGACTATAAAGTAACGTCCAGGTTGACAGAACTCACAGGATGCGTGTGCTCAGCACGGGGTCCAATACACCGACTCGCGCTACAAACTACTGCGAAGAACCGGCCCGCAGCGGGTGAGACCGACACCCAGTCCCGGAGGTCCCCGGGAAAGGGGTGCTCCGTGCCGCCGCCTCTCCCCGCCCCGCCGCCCGGAGCCGCTCCCTGGTTGGGCCGGCCGCCGCCAGGCCCGCTCCCGCCAACGGCACCGGCACCGCTCCAGGTGCCGAATTTCCACTCGGTGGCGATCCCGGCCCGAGCCGCCTTCCACCGTGTCACCAGCAGCACCCCCCCTCCCCGCCCAGCGCGGCGGCCAGAGAGCCCTCGGGCAGCCGCCGAGGGGCCACACGGACACAGCAGGCGCCGCGTATCCACGATGCGCCCCCGCCCGAAGCTCCGCCCGGCCCCGCGGCTCTCGCCCTCAACCCCGAGCCCAGCGGCCGGGCACAGCGGAGCCCGCCGCCCTGGGGCGCCCCTCGCCGAGGCCGGAGCCCAGCGGGAGCGGCGCGGCGGCCCGC